TACATACAAATACGCAAACGGCAATAGTACTGTTTTAAACGTAATACACATACATATTATACGATTGCGAAGAAACCGATTTGTATAATAAATAACGCAGCATGTTTGCTGGAGCACAATATAATGATAATTATCTACGGTGTTGCAGGTAGGTAGTTATTTTTATTTTTCAAAATCGTGTGATTTCAATGAACTAAAAATATATGTGTATATATTTTTTTATCTATATATTTATATATATATAAAAAAAAACCGCTTTATCATTTTCATTATATTAGTTGACTTTTGACTGTACAGGTACACCCATTTACAGTTGAGGCCAACAGAGTTGCCATCGTTTTAACATTTTGAAACGACGCGGAATCGTTAAAAAAACATTAGGCACCTTACATTTTGTATAATAATAATAATAATAATAATATCCGGTATTATGTGCGAATGTTATGTATGAGTTTTTGTCGGATTATTATAGTCTAAATATTCTATACGAACAATAAATTGATAAGAAATGTGTGGATTTTTTTATCTTCACGTAGAAAAGCGTTTGATAATTACGATGAGACATCTGTTTTGTGTAATATATTCGGGAAAAAATCTGGGAGTACGATGAAAACCATCAGACAACAGAAAGAAAAACATGAAAAAAAAAAAAAAAACGATTCAATATTAATTTTAACGGTTAAAACGTAGGTAAGGTCCTGTATGTCACGAAACGCGATTTGTTGGTGCGTAGAAATTTAATTCAAGATGCGTTATAACGAAAGGTCTCGAAGAACAAACTATAGAACGATAGAAACGAACATAATTAAAATAACGGTGCCAAACTTCCTGCGATTTGCAGGTTTCGGTCGTCGCAACATTGAGAAATCCTACCTTGCAAGTAATTTTTTATTTTATTCATTTTTTTTTTTTTTATAATACGATACGTGCCGAGTAAAAATTCAAATTGATCGATTTTTGTGCCCTTGAACAATAATTTTTTAATACGTTTTTTGTTTGATCTTCAATCTAGCACTGGGTAATTGCAAAATCAATTGTTTACTAATATTATCGTATTGATGTGAAATATTTATTGTTAATAGTATTTTTACGGCTACCTTATTTAAAAAATACAACTATTTTTATTGAAAATAAATTGATTGTTATATTCGTGACAATATTTACAAATTATAATTCGTTTTGGTTTTGATCGATATAATATTTCAAAATATGTTCACAAACGATTTTTTTTTTCCGAAAAATTGTTCATCTTAGGTACTTACACGTAGATACTCTGAGAGTACAATTGAGGGGCTGGGTGCAAGAAAGACATTTTCACGGAAATGCCTTTTTTGCTTAAAATGTTTTTTTGAACTCGGCGACCTCTACACTATATGTGTATACAATTTTAGTTCGAAATTTTAATAATTGAACACTGTAGAAGCGTATATGTGATAGAGTGTAATGCCATTCTTGCATAAAACTACATACTATGTACGTTATATTTATAAATAATATCGTTTTACTTTTCAATGATTTAAAAACAATATTATGCAGATAATTTGTTATTTTTCATTGTAGATTAATAGGTTTGGTAAAAACCGTTTCTAAATTATTAACAGTAGTCTCATGTTTTCGTTGCAATGTGTCACAATTCGTGACTATTAAGTGTTAGTTATTTTTGTATTTTTTTTTTGTATTAAGTGGTAGTTTATTATTTATTTGTTTATTACTTTAATTTCGTTTATCTTGAAACTCGTTTTTCTAGAAAATGCCCTTCATGCACCCAGCCCCTCAATTGCATAGTACTTTAGTTTACTAAAGTGAGTACAACTCATATAAATAAAAAAAAAAAAAAACGCGTGTTTACTCAATAATGTATTGTTAAAAGTTTAAAAATGTATTTTTTGTATTTGTATACTATTTGATTACACTAAACACTGGAAAATAATTTTAAGCGCAATTGATATTTTTTCATACTAATATAACCCAAATTGTTTTATTGTTTTAACGGAAGGAACGGGAGAAAGAAGGTAATAATAAAAATTAAAAAATGTACATAAAAACGATCTGTTCTAGTTTTTTAGCGGACTAAGTGTTTCGGCCCGAAAGCCATATTGTCACATTATTTGCAAGTTTGTTAATTGTAAGAATTAAAGTAACACAATATTATTATAATTGAATTCAATAGGAGGCGGGCAATCAAATAATTACCATAGCGAATTAAGATCGTATTCGTATACTTACGTTTCGACTGAGACAATTAAGTTGTCGAATCATTATCGGGCTGGTACCGTTCATTTCTGACGTCTACTATATTTAGGTTACATCGATTACCTGCACCGCGCCACGAATTAAAATTCACAATACCAACTCTTATTACAGCGTTGTTTGAACTATTAAAATGCTGGTTTTTCAAATATACAATGCTATTGTACAACTTAATTATTTACACAGAATTATAAAGATGGTCGGACATACTTCACACAATGGGTAGGCCGGAACTGTTGCAGTTGAGTACTTCGGAATTCATAGAGTAATTTAGTTTAAACTGAAATCAACGAGAAATCATTGCAATGAAAAAACGGTTCTGAGCGGAAGACGGTAAACCGGTAAGGTTCTATATTATAGTATTATACAATGCAGTCCTATGTAATATAGAAGCAATGCTTCGACATTTTTTGTCGTCTGTTGTTTTTCATTTTTAAGAAAAACTGTCAACAAATTTGAAACGTTTGTCAATTGAAATGCGACCGGATAAAAATTTGCTTTTTTTGGATACTGCACCGAGAAAAAAAAAATCGACGCATTTATTTTAGTAGTTAGATATTGCTAATACTACAATTTCGGAAAAATGATTTAAATACATTTTAACCAATCAAATTCAAACATATCAATACATTTATTTGTCACTACGAAAATGCTAAAGGCTTTCTGAGTATCTGGGTAAATAATTTTCAGACTTTCTAGTTACATGTCGACTTCGTATTGTGCCGTAGGTATATTATATTGAATTAAAACAAACTTGAAATCATGTTCGTAAACAAAAGGTGTGTATGCAGTCAGGTTCTCGGTGTAAAAACTACAAACATTGCGCGTGGGGACTATAATATTAATTGTTAGGTAATTTACGATTCTCATTTCACATGTATTCATTTACGTTTAAATCGAATTATTTTGTACATGTAAAATTTGTCGAATTAATAGTATATACAATTTTAGAGGTAACTGTCCTAAACAAAAATATTTAGATATATGTTTATTACGTTGGTACCGAAGGTTTATATCGACATGTAAAATATATGACTTTTCTATAGGTAAAAATGAAAAGAATAGATATTCTAGAAAATATTATTATGGATGTTTATATAGAGTAAAGGCGAATTAACAAAATTTTCGGATGAAATGAAAATTGATAGTCTCGAATATCGATTCAAATTCAATTTTGAATAAATTTCAGTGGTCCCACGTCATTATGATCGTCACAAGTATTTAAATAGGTAATCTATAATTTTTTTTTTGTGATCATGACGGTTTATCAAACGATGTTGATGCAAAATTTTGTTCACGTAAAACAGAAAAAAGTACTTATTCCTCAAAGGAGTTTCAGGGATTTTGCACAATTTGTAGACGACATCGTTTTCGAGTGTATTTCTTTCAGCTAATTTATGATCATCATTTTAAATATACGTATATAGTTCAATTATGTAATTCTTTCAAAAATTACATTTTTAAAATTTTTTTAAGTGACTGTACCTATAATATATTTTGCGAAATTTATTCGCAAAAAATGCAACGAGATTCACTTCGAATTTCGTTCTCTTTGAGTTGTATAATACTCAAGAGTAATTCGCTCTATAAAAACAAAATCAACTGCCGAAAAATCAACAAATTAAATATCGTACATTTAATTGACTTCTGCTCAGTTTTTAATCACTCCTATAATATAAAATTTGTACGTTCATATTCAATAAACACTAAATTATATTTTCTATTCTTAATATCTATTGGATCTTAAGAAAATATTGTGTACTTAAAGTAATAGTATTCATGTTTTAATTGTTGTAGTGATGAAATGATAACATATTTTGATATTTAGTCTTAAAATACTATAACAAATACCGTCAGTTAATATTTGATCAATAATCTTATCGTTGTAATATATTATTCACAATATCGTCCGTTGATTTATATTGATTTACTACGGCGCCGAGTTCCTAAAAAAAATGACGGTTTAAATCGTCTTGGTATTGAATCAACCAAAGGGGTGGGTATAGAAAGGATAATATGTGAATAAATTCACCCCTCCCCTCCCTAGCATGTAGTCAGGTACTAAAAAAAAGAAATTATACAAAATTACAACACACATTTAAAAATACATTTTTACGCACATAAAAAGGATTATTTACATTTATGTATTTTTTTAACCCCCTCTCCTTATCTAATTTATAAATCCTCCTTTCTATCTATCGGCACATTAATCAATAACTAATAGTTTCTTTACACAACAATATTTAGGTATTAATTAAATTATTTTATTAGATTTTATTAGATGGCAGTAGTATTTATTTAAAGTACAAAGTGTACGTTACAAATAGACAGACCGATTTGGTTTTTTTTATGTATGGTATATAATATATATATTATAATATAGATTAGCATTGTATAATTATTATTGATTACTCGACAGTACCTCATGGTTAACCAATTTATAGGTTTGTATAAATTAAAATTTCATATGGGAATAAGTTGTGAGGGATCAGAGAACTATACGCATATACGTACAAGCGTATATTATTGGGAAACAATCAAACAAACAAATTGGACGTGCACATTTATTATTTGATAATCCATAAAGAACAACGATTTAATATAAGTACATATTATACAGGCATTGTAAAACTTGTAAATACGGTGCAAAGAACAAAGACGAACCGCGATCTGTAATCGAAATCCGTTATAATAACAATAGTAAATATTAAAAAATTGTTGTAAATAAAATAATCTAGAGATAAAAAAAACTAGTCAATTGTCAATTGGACTGAGGATTTCGCATTAACTTTTTTGCGAAAATAAATTATTTTCATGACTCAATTTATTGCTTACTAAACTATGAATACATTTAAAATTGTATGTTTGAGTGGTCGATATAAGGTGTATACAGAATGTCCCACGAAGTTATAACAATTGTGATATCTCCGGAGATTATAAAAATAATCAAATTGCGTTCTTTTTTTCACATTACTCATAGGAATAAAGACTTCAAATATTTATATTTTAACTAATGTTTTATGTTTAGGTAAAAAAAACTCAAAAAATAACCTTTTATTTTATTATTTTCACTAATTATTGTGTCTAATCAACTATACACTTGTTTTTTAGAACTTTAAAAAATCACGAATTTAATCAAAATAAAAAGTTGATGCTTTAAAGTTTTCAGAAGAACGAACTCTATAAAATAAAAAGTTATTTTTTTTAGTTTTTTCACTAAAACATAAACATTTAATTCAAATATAAATATTTGTAGTCCTTATTCCTACGAATTAGAAAAACAAAAAAAAAAAAACATAATTTGATTATATTTATTATCTTAGGAGATAATACAATGGATATTCTTCGTGGGATACCCTATAAAATCATGACGTGTGAATTTTAAGCCGATGTCTCATTTCGTTTAAACATTAGAAGCTCTGACAGACGGACGGTCAGACGCAGAGTTGTCACCAAATTAGGACTCCGTTAATACCTACGAATGAACATAAAAATTGTTGAAAATATATTGACATTGATAATAATCATTCACGATTTGTAAACGGCAGAAATACTACTCGATTTCTGATTTTAAAGAAAATAATTCTTGTATTAAAAACATTGTCCATTAAAACCTTCAACAGTGTCCATTTTGAATGTTAATTTTCTTAAATGTATATGAGTAAACAGCATTTCTTTGCTTATAAGTAAATTCCGCGGCATTGAAAACAAATTTTAATGGAATTCGGAGACGCGAAATGAACGTTATTAACTGTATACTTAAATTGTGTCGTGTCTTGAATTTGTATAATGTAGGTTTTATAATACCTTATTGAAATTTATCACCGTGAATTCGCGGTATACCATTCATGAAGCAAATGATAGTCGAAATATATTTAACGAATCAAACAATACATTTGACTGCGAAAAAAATGTCAACAAGATTGTGCTACGTAGAATTTTATTAGGGTTTTTTTTTTCATGGAGAAGAAAATTAAATTCGCCGAGGCTACTACTGCAGTGTAGAGGTAGTCGATATTTACACCGCAACTAATATTATCATCATCAGACCACGGGGCTAGGGTCGGAGGACGATGTCTATAAAATGTCATTCGCTTTGCAAATAATATACATAGGTAGCCATAATATAGCGACGTGAATTAAATTCGTAACTGCCAAATTAAGTTCACTTTTATTTTGCGTACTTATATATAAATTCAAACCAGTTGCAGACGTTTACACTCCTTTTATGGCGCACGCTCGTCTCCGGCATTGCAAAGGAATGTGCTTACGACATCCTGTAACAGTAGTATACAGTACAAGTTTAGAGTATAGATATTGGCAGTTAAAAATTATTAATTTGTTATTTTCTTCAGTACACCGTAAAGCAGATATCATACCGGAGAAACTAAATAATTAATTATGTTCGCGTTATTACTATTATAATTGCACTTACAATCAATTTAAATTCGAATTCGATTCAAAACAAATTAAAGCGGATACTGCTAATCAAAAAAAAAAAAAAAATAATAATAATAATAATATAAAAACACTTACCCGTCTACCTTAAATCGCGAGTATCCTACTTAAAAAAAAATGGTTTTTCTTCTAATTTGACAATTATTCCCGTAATACAGTTTAAAAATATTATCGAAATAATTGCCGGAAAATATTACCACGTTGATAATATTGTGAAATAATTGGAAAAAAAAAAAAAAATCGTTACAAAGAGTGAAAAATAATAATTGATCTCGCGAATAAACTTCACGGGGAATCTAAATCTACAGCTTAATAATAATATTCGTTGACCGCGTGTTTCTCTTTAGAAATTCGTTACACAATAATTTTAATATTACAGTATACTTGTTAATTTAATACATATTTTTTTTTTTTATGTACGTAGTACGAACATAGTTAAAAAAAAAAAAATCGACGACGGATTATACTATTATGTATTTACTGCGACCTCGCGGATGCGTCAAACGATCGATTTTCTCGCGTAAATCAGTCACTTCGAGTTTGTTTATTTTTTTTTTCTATTCCAAGTCGACGAACCGTCGTTGTAGTTTTCGCGATATACTGTACGCGGATATAATACTCGAGTTTCGTAAAAACAGTGTTGTTTTACACTTTTCCCGAAAAATTATTCGGCACCCAGGCGTAGAAATCAATTCGGAAATAATATTGTTAACTGTATCTGAACATAACATTTTATAACACTATACATGTATAATACCGTTACGATATTAACATAATGGATCGCGTCGTCCGCTGCGATCATGTTAGCAAGTAGTCGACTGCACGTGGGAAATCCGAGTAGGTACGCAAACAGAATCTCGAGACTATTATTTATTTTTTTCTTATTTTTACAAATCTAAAATATGATTTATTACACATGCGCACACGCGCTCGTCACATGTACTCGAGTTTTACTTTTTAAAGCGAGTCGTCGCGTTGTTGAAATAAACATCTAGTCAGTCTTATAATATTATGAGTCGTGTATAATATTGTATTAAACTGTTACTGATGCACATTTCACACGTTAAACCCTTATTTTATGATTCTTGACGCGTATATATTTTTCATTCGACCGAAACACGAAAACCACACGTCCAAACATTGAAGCCGCGCGCACGTGTTCGTCTCCGTTCGATAAACGTACGACACAGCCGATTCACGTTCAGCAGGGACAATTTTGTGCTGTTAGTATAACATAACAAAATCATCCGTGCAACGTTGGCATTGTTTTTTTTCGCTATTTGAATTTTCAAGCGTGACACGAGTATTGTAATATTTCACGTACTCGTATCGCCAAGTTTAATAGCAGGCCGATTCGCTTTTATATTAAAACTAACAGCACGGTGTTGCCCCTACTGAACGAAAATTTGCTGTCGTACGTTCGCAACACGGAGACTATATACAATACAACACGGATAGCATAATAACGGTTCGTTTTAATTGACAATCAAATATGCATATGCCAGTGTTACGTTCGGTATAAATCTAACTGTGAAATTTAGAATTTGGGCTTCTAAATGATTTGATGATGTTTCAAAAAACAATACGGATATCAGACAGTAGTGCAGTGTGGGTAAAAGAAATACAAACGATTTTGGATGAAACCGTTATTGGTTATAATTAGTTCAGTTTTCTGACAGGTTTTTTCGGGTTTATGCTCATTATTAATGAAAATGAGTAGCGTATTTACTAGACGAAATTCGCTTATCGAGAAACTATACCCAATGTTGATGGAATCGGAGCAAGGTCGAAAACTTATTTTACAAGCAGAAAAAACACAGAATCTAAAATATGTAATAAACCGAAAGTGTCATGCTCAAGTTCGAGTGAAACTTAAAAGTACTTTAGTAAAAAAAATAATGAAATAATACAATTTATAATAATATTATAGAAAACCAGAAACCCGGTTACTCTAATACAAAAATATAGTAACCGCAATATTCGTGAAAAAAAATGATTTATTTAATTTAAATAATTAATAAATCTATGACGCATTAAAAAAGAAAAATTAAAGATAACGTTTATAGCCGAGACAAGAGAAAATTAAAACAAAAAATATCGATGGACGAAGTATCGCCTGAAAAAAAAAATGACATAATATTTTCGAATTATTATTTATTGCGATATACTTATTGAAATCGGTGGAAAAAAACGGTCTAAATTATAAAAAAAAAAACATAATATATAAAATTATGAGCATAATAATAACGATTACTGACTAAGAAAAAAACCGACAAAAAAAAAAAAAGAACCGGTGGCGTCACTATATTGAAAATATTATGTTTTTTATTGTTAACTCGTTGTGTACACGACACATGAATTAAATTGTTACATTACATAATAATTATAATAATAATAATATGTAATGGTCCACGGGATACAAATCTTTCGTGTGGTGTTAAAACCCGACATTTTAGCAGACGTCAGAAACATAAAAAAAAAACAAACATACAAATTTGCCGATGATCGATCAAAAAAAAATTACATTTTGTAAAACAATACACCTTATACTCGGGGGAGGGGGAATATCATGGGATTAACAAACACAATAATTGCGTGAATGTATGTAAGTATCTGGCATGTTTTGCTATCACATAATTTGAAGTTTTTTCCACCATATAATCTCTCCAAATTGCATTTCAACATTTCTAATTTAATTTTAACTAATCACACATGTAGAAGGTATTACAAGTACATAGATAACACATACCAGGAGGTATTGGTAGTTTTGTTTTTTTTACTTTTCATTAATTTTACAACGGAGATAGGTGCACATAGGCTATTCTATCTTATTATTCTTCCTCTTCAGCTTTAGAAGCCACTGGCTGCAAACCGAACTTATTTCCATCTTTCTCTATCAGAACTACTTCGTTGAAGTTGTCTATTGTTATTAATTGTCTATTGCTTCAGTCTTCACATTGGTCATTTTCCTCAGGGAGTCCAGTTGAGTAACCTCGAGAGTATGTAGAAACATTTGCCTCCTGAAGCAATGCAGTTTTTTAATGTGTTCGTGTTAATCATTTTAACCACGTAGGTTGGTGATGACGATCATATTATGGATTTCAACTTAATATTTTGTTTTTTTTTTTGAAAGATTAAGATTGTGTCTAGATGAACACACAATTATAAATATAACGGATACACAGTGGACAAAGATTTTGCTTACTACGGGTCCGTTAGAATTTTATGACTAAATTTGAGTGGACTGTTAGGCATATATGCTTGATAATCACAATCAACTGTTTTCCATGTGGAATAAGTGAAAGATTATCGACAAAAAAAATCCAGAAAACAAGAATAAGGTCTGAAAATCGAGTAGCAGCGGCGTTGATGTCGCAGCGTCGGTGTTAGTTGTTATAGGCGCGAAATGCAGTGACTACAATAATAAAATAACGGCCAGCATGGTAAAAAGACCGCGGAGGGGGGAAAAACGTAACAAAATCATTTAGCGTATACAGTCGAAGATTTAGCGTGCCGGATCGATTTTTTTTGACAATCCATTTTCACCGGTTTCCGGTCCAGAGAACTTGTATATTACTCCGTACAAACGTTACCTATATAATACTAAAACACTCGATTACTTATACCTATATATACGTACATATAGACAATGGATATCATTTGTATACGTATATATATTTATATATATATATATTAAAATACATAAAAATGTGACTTACCGTTTGCCGGGATTTTTTTTCCTCCTTTTGATATAGTTTTCTACCATTGTACTATTATATTATTCTCGAGTAGAATCACGCGAATATACTGTCGTTTTTTTTTTTTTTTTTGCCGTTTCATTATCGTTATTATTATATAAATATAGATACGAATTACGCCCGTAATAATAAACGAATTGTCATCGTTAAATCGAACCGTTGTCTCGTATAAAACCGTTGTGCTGCAAAAGATCCTACGCGAAAAGTCACCGACTTAGTAGCGACGAAAAAAAAAAATAACAATAATAACGATTTTCAGGTATAATAATATGTATTTTTGAACATACGAAGAGATTTTGATTTCCTCGTTTCGTCGGGTGACGATGAGTAGGTGTTCGTCAAACGTTTCTGCGTGGATACGATTGAAATAAAAAACTGTTATAGGTATTATATAATTTTGTTTTCTTAAATTCCGAACGGATCGAGAAATGACGTATTGAACTTTTACTGTATGATGCGTGTGTGTTTTTCTCCTTAACTTTTTCCAATAAAGAAATGACTGCATCTTTCTGATCGAATTTTCGTAGATAAAATTGTTTGAATCTCACGAATGTAAACATGTCTAGACAATTTTCGTAATGGTGTTATGTATGTCAACTTTAATTAAAATAATTCAGATTTTTGATGCTATTCGTTTCGAAATTCTATTCGTGGTTACTATTCACATCGACGTCCAAATTGATTAAATATCATTTTCAAACTTTAAAACAGTACAATCAAATATTATTAGTATTCTACATTTATCATTTGAATTAGAAAGCTAGAAAAAGAAACGATTTAACTTTCGGAATGTTTTTTGCATGGGGATAGTTAGTTGGAGGACTGGAAATTTATGTAGGCTAATTTTCACCAGAGAAATCCGTCATATTACCGCAAAAAGCTTACTCCATACCTAATTTTTAATAACATATAACTTCTAGGGGTGGGTTTCAACTTAGAACGATCGTTTTTGCACCTTTAGATGACCCTCATCAGGACTACTAACCTTTATTTTAATAATGATAAATAATATTGAAAATTCAACCCCTTAAGATGTATGGATTGCTGAGACGTGTCAAAGTTAGTGTTCGAAAAAAACTCTATGCCCATTATGATAAATCGAAACGACAGAGTCTCATAAGTAAACAACGAACGAGTTTTGTTTTGATACATAGGTGTAACGCTGAATGATATGTAACTTAAGAGAATAAATGTAGAATAAATGTAATTTCAAGACATTATTTCGTATTCTTAAGATAGCTAATAAGAATAATTTAAAATATCATGTACGATTTCAGACTGTTGGAAGTACTTTCACATTTTATTTATATTTTACCCATTTATCTTCCATACACCCCGTAGAAAAGGCATTATAAAAGTCTGCGCGGACAAAGTCATGGGTAATACAGCTAGTATTTATTATATTTAAATTCAAGCTGGGTTCTACCTTGGAACCATTAAACACTTATGATCGCGTATACTATAATTTCGAGTGTTACGTTTTAAATGCCGCAATTTTAATTCTAAGTTACGTTTATAATACTATTACAGTAGCGTGCGCAGCGGGGAGGTTAGGTGTTATATCCCCCCCTCTCTGTTGGCTTAAAATATGAGTTGAAAATTGAAAATTCTTGTGCGCACCACTGTACTATGCTAATTGTTAATGTTACTCGTTATAGTTAGACTGAGACTGTCAATGCACGTATGTGTATAGTAATATAATAACTTCTCTATTAAAAGAAAATCATCCGCTGAACCGAATAGTGCCGACCGGAAAAAAAAGACGCGCGTTTACGTCACGTGTTCACACAATATTATGGTAATATTTAAACTAAATACTGCAATATTATTAAACAACAGTATAATTGCATCAATTGGCAATAATAATTCCCGACCGTTTATTTATAACGCGATGCGTATTAATTTATTATACAACGGCTATTAAATTACCGCAATCGTTGTCATGCGTATTATCTCGTGTTTATGTTTTTGTAACTAATATAATTTATATTATTGTAAAATACGTAGTGCTTATTATACAATACTATGATAGTTATA